AGTTATCCTGACTCTTCGAGGAAGCCAATCGTCGCTTAGACGAAGGCGACACCTTATCCGCTGTCCTATCGCTTAGGAACCTTATTGGAGTGCAGGACCCAGAATATATCCCAGTCACCCTGCCATCTCCTCGACGTCTTCGTAGCCACACTAGGCAATTAGCGTTAGCCGCAGCTGCTGCAGTCGATCCGGTTCCACCTTCCGCCGAGGAGCCAGACAGCCCAGACATTCCCCTTCGAGAAACCCTCCAAAGCCGCCATCGCGCAGTGTCTAACCCGGAGTCCGGAGCCCTTAACGTTTCCCATCCATTTATCCCATCGCCAATACACTCAGAGTCCATTCCCTCATCATCGTCCGGCCTCGTCGAAATTCCCTCCAACAATATCAGCACTCCGGAGTTAATTCAGCCGCCTCCCATCGGTACTGTCACAATGTCGGACACTCTACCCTCTCGCTACGACAAGCACGCACCTCGCTTCGATCCGGAACAGCCGCGGACCCTACTTCGCTATTTCGAGGACCTGGCGGACTTATTTGCCGCTCATCCAAATGCGGTCCCGAATGAAGCAACAAAAAAGGCGGTAGTGGTGAAATATGTGCCTATGTATGAGGAGGAGCTATGGAAAGGCGTCCCGGAATTTTCGGACGACTCCAAGAGCTTCGAGGACTTCAAGGGAGCGGTCTTGGCGTTATACCCAGCCGTTAAGGAGGACCAGAGATATAGCGTCGGGGATATGGACCGTGTAGTAGGGGAAAGGCAGCGTGTGGGCATCCACAATTTGGCGGACTTAGCGGCATTCCATCGCGATTTTCTGCTTATCACTCGATACCTGCGCAAGAACGACATCATTTCCGTTCGAGAGCAGGGGAGGGCATTCCAGCGAGGGTTTCAGCCAGAGTTATGGAACAAAATATTCAGGCGCCTCCAGATTAAGGACATAGACCATCAACCGGACACTCCGTACAACGTAGACGAGGTTTACAAGGCGGCGGAGTTTATTCTTTATGGAACGTCGGCCATAGGAACCACAGAGAAGCATGCGGAGCCATCTCGGAGTGCTCCGAGCGCACCAGTGGTGAAGACGGAGGACCTATCATCATTGGTGGAGGTCATCACAAAATCCATCAGTCAAGCTCTAGTAGCCGCGGTTCAGCAGAACGCTGCGATGGCCCCTGCGACGTCCAACAGACCTGCCCCCATGAATTACCACTGCATTTATTGCGGGGAGAGCGACCACTCGATCCGGAGGTGTCCCAAGGTCGAGGAGGATATTAGGGCCGGTCGGTGCAAGCGGAACGCGGAGGGACAAGTGGTTCTGCCGAGCGGAGCGATGGTCTCAAGGTCTATGCCAGGAGCGACGATGAGGGACCGCATATTAGAGTGGCACCGCCAGAACCCTGGGCAGACAAGTGTCCATTTATTGGATATGATGCTATGGGAGGAGGTGCGAGCGTCGGCGGCCCCAAAGACCACAGACATGTTCCACTTGGACCAGCAGGAGCGAATCGAGGCCTTGGAGCGGGAATTATTTGCGTTGAGAGGGAAAGGAAAGCAGGTGTTTGACGGAGTCTACGTTCCTCCTCCGAATAGGTCTTCCAACCCCTCCAAGGAGTCCGGAGTTGGTCCGACAGGTCCCGCACCCTCTAGAGCCAAGAGTCAACCGGTACGAGAACAGCCAGTGGCCGAAGCAGTGCGGCCGGCAATAAACCGAGAGTCCCCACCTCACATGTCAGAGGGACCAATCCATCCATTCGCCGATGCAAGGGACGTCAACAGGCCTAGGCAGGCAATTCCCCGGAGTGTCAAAAAAGGCTCGGCTCAAGCAGCAGACGCGTCACAAGCCAAGGAGCCAGCCTACCGCACGCAGGCCCCTGTCTATAATCCTCGCATCTCGGACCTGGTGTTTGAGCGGTCGCTCAAGACTCCGAATATTTCGTTGACCTCTGAGGAATTATTATCCATCGCTCCGGAAGTCCGAGCGAAATATAGGGACATTGTAACACCCAAGAAAGTGCCCGCGCCGCCCGCTGTTCGACTCCAAGCCACTATACAGGAAGTGGAGGACGAAGACGATGGTCCGGAGTTGCCGGACGTGGAGCAATTAATTCACAGCGGTAGTTCGATCCGTCCTGGAGTGTTGGTGGTGCCCGACCCCTATGAGATTTATCTCCGAAGTTTAGGTCCGGGGGAGACGCCGAAGCAGTTGGTCGTGGCCAAGGAGTCGCATGCTCTGCGGTCCATTATGGGGCTCATAGACAACCAGGAGAAGGTCGAGGCAATTTTAGATCCAGGTTCCCAAATCGTCGCAATGTCGGAAGCAGTTTGCCATTCTCTAGGACTTCAGTACGATCCCACCATTCAG